ATGATCTCTCCAACTAGTCGGTCGAAGATCGCCAGCATACATCTCTGGAAAGTCGCCGGTGCATTACATAGCCCGAATGGAATCCTCCGGTAAGCAAAAGTACCAAGGGGGCAAGTGAATGTGGTCTTTGCCTGATCCTCTGACGCGATGGGAATCTGGAAGTAGCCAGACATGCCATCCAGGAAGCAGTAGAACTCATGGCCAGCCAATCTCTCTAGCATCTGATCAATGAAAGGTAGGGGAAAATGGTCCTTCCTGATGGCATCGTTCATGCGCCTGTAATCGATGCAGACTCTCCAACCAGTCATGGTCCGCATCGGGATCAGCTCGTTCTTCTCATTCGGGACCACAGTCATCCCGTCTTTCTTCGGGACCACCTGAGTGGGACTGACCCACCTGCTATCAGATATAGCAAAGATGATCAGATCCATCAGCTTCACGATCTCTGCCCGGACCACTGCCTCCAAGTTAGGAGTCAATCTCCGCTGCGGCTTCCTGACTGGCTTAACCTCATCCTCCATCAGAATTCTGTGGGAGCAGAAGGATGGGCTAAATGCCTCTAATGTCAGTTATCTTTCACGCCATGGCCCGGGCATACTTCTTCAGCAGAGCCACCAGTCTGCTCTTCTTCTCGGGTGTCAGATCCGAGCTGATAATGATCGGGAGCTTATTCCCCTCCCGGAGAAATGCATACTCCAGGTCAGAGGGGAGGGTTTTAAGCTCCAGCTCTGGTGGCTCCTCCAATGATGTGGCGATCCGGGGCGAGATAGGGATCAACTTCAATGGTTTCCCTCGCCCTCGATCGCGGCTTCGTCTAGCTCCGCGAGCTGCTCCTCCAACTGCAACTCCTGCGATGCCTGTTCCCCTAGCAAAAGACAACGCTCGAGGAAATCGTCAGTACCCGCGCTCGTGATGGCGAGTGCGGTCTAAAAATCAGCAATAACATCGCAGTAGTCTAGATCATCATGGAGCTGGGGGTGTTTCATATTATCAGAAACAGAGAAGGTGATTTGCTCACCCCCAGCCCTCAAAATTAACTTTCCATCATTCACATCAATAAGCGTCTTGGCGGTGGCGATAAAAGGTCTACCCAGTATTAAAGGCACATCCACATTTATATGAAGAATAACAAAATCAACAAGATATGAGAATGGCCCCACTGCGACTATCAAGTCCTCTACAATGCCCCTAGGATGCACAATGGATCTATCAGCAAGTTGAATGTTTCATCCTAGTATTACTTGGTTCACCTAGGCCTAGCTTTTTAAACAGTTTATATGGCATTACGTTTATGCTAGCGCCTAAATCCGCCAAGGACTTTCCTACATGCAAACTACTAATCATGTAAGGGATAGTGAAACTCCCTGGGTCTTTACGCTTCTCTGGTAGCTTGTTCTATAGGATGGCAGAACACTCCTCGTTGAGCATCATCGTCGACAGCTCCCCAAACTTCCTCTTGTTGGTGAGCAGATCTTTCATAAACTTAGCATACTTGGGCATCTTCGACAATGCCTCCACGAAGGGCATGCTGATGTTCACCTGCTTCAGCATTGCCATGAACTTGGCAAACTCAGTCTCCAGTCGGTCTTTGTGTAACCGAGTAGGAAAGGGAAGATGAGGGACATACTCCTTCACCACTGGTTGCGGATTAGGAGTATGCACCTCAACCTCCTTCTCCATTTATTCTTCATTAGCTGGAAGTGCTGAAGTAGGGGTCTCGCTCTCCTGTCGTGCCCGGACAGGTGGATCCGCAGTCACTTTGCCACTCCTGGTAGTAATGGCCTGGCAGTGTTCATTTGGGTCCTGCGGATGGGGAATGGTCTGCCAGGGTAAAGTACTCTGAGCCCTCTGTGCTACAGCCTGGGCCACACTCCCGAGCTGGGTCTGTATATCCCGCAGTACAGCCTGCGTGTTTCTCTGGCCAGCTTCTAGCTCCAAGAATTTACCTGAGGCTTTCTCCATGAACTACTCGATGTTGCTAAACTTATTCGCACGGGAGGTGGCCAGAGAACCCACCAGATCTCACAAATCGGCCATAGGATCGCCCTATACTGGGACTATGGGGCTGCACCTGGCTGCTGAAATTGCCTCATCTGTGACCGAGGAGGAGCTGGCCCCTGTCTGGCTGGATAGAGGGGCTATTGTTGTGGCTGGACGAATCCATGATTAAGATCTCGTGAACTTAATCGGCTTTGAGGCTCCACCCATGAGACCTCTTCTTCTTTTTTTCTTCATCTTTCTCTTTGCCCGACACCATGTAGTCCATCATCGATTGACTTCCATCGCATCCGCCAAGAGGGATTGCCGATGGTTTGGCCGTGAATTGGCAAAGAGCCACAAATGGGTCATTCTCGATAAGCGCATCAAAGTCGGGTAGAAAGCATTGGTAGGACTTGTAACTCGTGGATGCTTCATCCACCTCGACCTCGTTCTCATCTTGGACACCACTTGCTCCTTATTCTTATTCTTCAACCTCCCTTTCTTCACCTTCAATTTCCTCCTCTTGGGAACAATCAAGATCTTCCTCCTCTTCAAACTCTTCTCTCGCCTTCCCATTCATGTCTTCAAAGTTGTTCTCGAGAAGGTGATCAATGAAACCTTCTTGGTCATCTCACCACTGGAGCTCTCCGGGGTGAGTTCCTCTTGCTCCACATTGTTGTCATTGATTGCCTCTTCAACCTCCTTTTGCTCTTCCAGTTATTTGATGTGATGGCGTCCACAAGCTGGTGCCACCTTCTCTTCTAGTGTGAAACCGGGATGAGGGAGGGATTGGAAATCCATGCCGGAGATCGTTCTTCCAAAATTCTCATGGCTCGCCTCTCCTACTTCCTTTCTTCCTTCAAATGGTAGGAGGCGATTGTGAGCAAGTTGTGAACATGCTTGCTCAACCAACCCTCCTAGCCTCTCCGTGTGTCAAAGGAGCTCCTCTAATTCCTGTAGAAAGGTTGAGTCGAAAGGGGCGACAATAGGGAGGTCCATACTAGAGCACCCTTCGCCGATTCCCCAAGAAAATCGCTTCACCATGAGCTCTAATTCGCTCATTGGCTTCGATTGTGGAGTGGAACATGGTCTCGAATGCCACCATGAAATCCCCCATGGTCAACTCCAACTTCGATTTCTCCTCGAGTTGTTGAGGGAAATCTTCTGATATGGGAAAGCTTCTTAATACCCCCATTGATATGCTTGTTCGCCTTGGAAGGGGGTTTGATCATCCCATGAAGTTCCGGGGTAACTACTTTCGGGTGGTGCTGGATACCCCCACACTTGGGTGAAATCATAAGGATCCATGATCCAATACCTACAAACAAACAAAAACACTAAAAAGGAATATCAAACACACACAAACCACCCTTCAAGACGAAGAGTGGTGAACAAAACACAAAACAAAACAAAAATGCAAGATAGAAAATGTTAAAGTAACACTCCTGTTTACTTTCATTTCTGTTTCCTGTTTTTGAGAAAATAAATGTTGGAAACATGTGAAAACAACATTTTGTCGTTTCCGAAAACAGTAGGAAGTTGCCACTTTCTGTTTTCATAGTTGGAAACGAATAGAAAACAAAATGAAAAGTAAACAAGTTTTCTCGTTTGGGTTGCCAAATTCATGACATGAAAACAGAAAACAGGAAACGAAAATGGTAATGGACCGTGGTACCCCGGCCAAAAACTTGACTCGCTAGGAACTACACCGCAAATTAATCCCGACTAGAGCCCAAGTTTTTAAATTCTAACCGGGTGCAGTATAGGACAAGTATTAAGTCAAACCCGAACCGGTCCATTTACCTCTACTTCAATCGCTTAGGTTATTATCTAGCAAATGGTTTTGGGTTTTAAAAGCTAAAAAATACAACAGAAAATAACACTTATAACCACCGTGTCCGTAGCTTCACCACCGTATTAAATATAAATATGGTAGTTAATGGTATTTAATCGACCACTGTATCTTGTACGATAGTCAATAATTATTAGTTAGAATTATCAAAGCTAGGGATGGCAACAAAACCCGAACCCACGGGTACCCACCCGACCCAACCCGGTCAACGCGGGTAAAATCCGTGTTGACGGGTTTTGGGCCGGGTTTGGGTTTAAACCCGTTCACTATTCACCGGGTTGGGTTGGGTTTGGGTTTAGGTAAACCCGACCCGTGGGTACCCGCCCACCCATATAATTAATTTTTTCGGTATATTTAATATTCTAAACAACTAATCTTATTTATGTTTGTGGAGACATGTCTAATTTTTTCTTTTTAATTGTGTAGAATGAAGTTGATGTTATGGAGTGGAGAGTAAAGAAACTTAATTGAAAGGAAGAAGCTTTCAATTAAACATATTATTTATGGATAATTTGTGATTTGCTTCAATTTTCTTGAGTTTTCTAGATTGGTGTTGAACAATTTGTATAGTTAATTTGTGATTTGCTTGAATTTTCTAGAATGGTGTTTTATATATGGATAAGTTGTATTGAGAAATTGATATTTGAATTTAATTTTGATAAGAACTTGTAATTGTAAATTTTTTACGACAAAACCCGTGGGTACCCATGAACCCGCGGATACCCAACGGGTTGGGTTGGGTTTGAGTTTTTCAAACCCAGTGGGTTTTACCCCGGGTTTTTTTCAAAGATAAACCCATTGGTTTGGGTTTGGGTTTGGCAAAACCCGACCCAACCCGACCCATTGCCATCCCTAATCAAAGCACAAGCAGCCAAAACTTCCCAAAAAACGAAAGTTACTGTTCATTACGAAAAAATGGCTTGCACTGTTCACGAGGGGCTAGGTGATTCTCTGCGGTCGTACTCACGTGAGCTCATGGGTATTTAACTTGGGCGAACCAAGCGTAGCCGTTGATATAAATTTTTGGTCGTCAGATAAATGAGCGCACCAAAAAAACAGCTGCACTTGATGGGTAACCTTTTTTAAAAACAATTTGGTGGGGTTCCCGATTCTTCTTTTTCCCACCTCCCAAAGTCGAACGACTTCCATGATCCATCACAAACCCTAAAAAAAAAACCTTCTTCGCTTCTCTCTCCTCTCTCTCCCAGCTCCCTCAGGCTCAACCACGGCACGCCGCCGAACAACGTCGGCGGAGATCCAACCTCCTCACTTCTCAGTCTCCCAATTCATTTTCACATCCCAGTCTCAATCTTCAATCCCAAGCTCCATGTCTTCTAAACTCTCCAGTGACGAGCACCACTGAACGATGCCCGATTTTCCCCTCTCTCTCACCTCCATGAACCGGCTGAACATCACGCTGGCGGGAGACGGTGGCGACGACAGATACCACATCTCCGAACCCACGAAGCGAACCCCGACGAACGAAGCGGACCCACTGAACGGCACGCTGGCGGGAGACGAGCCCTCCTTCCCGACATTTTGGAAGTCGATCAAAGCTCCGAGCCCTACTTCTCGACATATTTGAAGGCGAATGATTCCTCTTCGGTTCCATGGCTTGGATTTCGTTCTCTGTTACCATTCTTCATGCGACAATCCATTATCTTCTGCGAAGGAGAGGACTCTGAGGTAAGATGGATCTGGAAGTTGAAACGACTAGAAGAAGAGGAGCCTGCTCTGCTACCTGTTTATCTTCCTCCCCTCCGCGAAAATTGAAGCTGGGAGAGTCGGATTCAGTATGCTTCTCTTCAATCAGCTCTGGGTTTAAGCCCTATCCGGCGCATTGGCGATTGACATTAATTAGTGCACTTCACATGATGGTGGGTGGATTATCGACGACCAAAGCTTGATTGAGGATTAGTTCTCTCTTCCCCCTTTTAGAAACTTTCATTGATGTAGCTCTCTGGTGGATCGATAGAAATTGGGAACGGGACTTCCAAGAGGCCATGGTTGGATTCTTTTCCGCGGAAAGCTTTGATGGGCATTACTTTGTTTCTTGATCAATGGAGAAGAAGGGATGACTTCATTGCTCTGTATGTACCCTTCTCCCTCTTTGCTTTTTATTTATTTCAATCTCAATGTTTCTTCTCCAGTAAATGTTCCTAGCTAAAGTTAGACCCCATATCCGATTCTTTTTGTTAGATTAGAAAGAGCTGCTTGCGACGATTCGTTGACCTGTTAAAGAACAAGCAAATTGGCTGGAAACTTTGAACACCAGAGGAGAATGGGTGTTTTATTAATCAACCTTATTATTTGAATTGCAGGGGATATGGACATTGATAATGATACTTCCTCAAAATCCGTCATTGGTACCATTGGAAATGCGGACTCTTACCAATTGTTGGATGCCAAAGGTTATAACAGGTTGGTTGATCATCTTTGTCTCCATTTCCAACTGGAAAAGCTTCATTTAGATTTTTATGGTGGTTTGTCTTCTCATAGGAAAGTGATGTATGTTTTCGTTGAATTCAGTATTAAGTTTGTCCACTTGGTAGGTATCCTTAACCATTTAATCTATATTCTAATATTTCAGCATGTTGAGATACCTATGAGGTTTCACCAAGGAAGAAAGGCAACAGAGGTGTAGAGAGATTCTCTCAACTAGGTAAATGATTCATCGCCCTTCTATATCGTAAACCAGATATAGGCCTTTGCAATGTCAGGTAATGCGTGCAATTTGATTATTGTTAAGCAAAATTTTAGCTGTGTAAGACTAGGACTGGCCTCAGTAGTCATAACCAAACATGCTACTATATGGAAAATAAACATTGATTGTTCAGTTTTAACATCTAGAAACGGAAGCCATGCATGATCTTAGTGTCCCCTGTAGAAGAGGGATTATGTTGCTGATTTGAGATAATACCACCTCTGGTTGTTTACCTCTAATTTCTCATGCAAGTTTTCCTTTTAGTTTAAAGTGTGATGAAATCTTGCAGTTATCCCAAGTGAGATTACCGAACTACCTCCTTCCTATATGTCAAATATCATATGTTCTGCTTCGTTTATGTTCCAGGAAGCTTTCTTACACATGATATTAATTCAACAGGGACTGAGCCAAAACTGCACTTCGAGTTGGATTTTTGGATTCAAATCATTCACATGTTTCACAATTGAACCACAACTGCTGCATCATCCTTTCGACCTGCTATGTCTAATGTTCGTCTTTCTATAGGAAAGTGTACTTCCAATTCAGAATGCTTTTTTATCTTCTAAATTGATATACACCTGACGTTCACATGTCTGCCTACAATCTGATCAGCTGCATCATGCACAAACACATACTGCAGAGAGCTTGATAGACCAGGTATATATGAGTGGATAAGATGATCTCTACAAATATATGATGTATGTAAATAACGATCTTTAATTCATAACACAGTGGATGAGATGATTGGACAATTGACACTATCCTAATCCCTTGCAAGAGTTCAAAAGGGTAGAGGTCCAACATCCAAGTTAAACATGTTCACACAGCTGGTGCAGGCGATGCATTGATTGAGACTATGAAGCATGATTGAGAAATCATTTGGAACCCCAAATACATACTTTGCTGCTTTCTCTTTTTATTTTTTGCAGGGCCTAAGGGTTCGTTTGAAGAACAAGATTTGGATTATGGATTTATTGAATCCATAGATTTAGTAAAATGTTATGGTTTTTTGTTACATTTTGTATCGTGGATTGTAGGTTTAGAGATTTTAAATCTCTAAAATCTAGAGATATCAAATCTCTCATAATTAGAGAGATTCTACATCTTGATTTTGGATATTTTTATTCTCCTACTATATCTCTTCTTTTTTTCATTTATCCCACTAAATACCCTTACCAATAAATTCTCAATAGTTTTCGAGCCAATCTAATTATGTTGGTTAAGGATAAACATGTCATTTAATACAAAAATAGGAAATTTTTTTTCATTGGATGTTAACAATCGTAGTTACCAAACAATGAACATTTTCAAATCTTTTTTCAACAATCCAGAGAGTTAAAATCTTTGGATTGTCTAGAATCTATAGATTTAGACTCCAATTCTCCAAACGAGCCCTAAATACGTAAGCCAATTCTTATAGATAAGGGACAAACTCTTAATGTGTGTGCACTTTATTGTAAGGAACATAGTGTGTGGTTTTCAGATTTATATATCATTTGTCAATGGCATATTTTGCTGTCAATTTGGATTTTTGACTAGGCAGGTTCCAGTTTTTGCTTTAGTTATAGAAGACCACTTTCTCAATAGCTTTACTCACCCGCAGCGGAGCGTGGGCTTCTATACTAGTGACTCATTAAACATGGCATTTACATACAGTGGTTGTTGTGGAGCTAATACGGTAGCTGTTAGTTCTGCTCTTCGTTCCCCACAAGAATTAGATATGGAGGAAGAAAGATGGAAATCTAGGGTTCGTTTGTATCCGAGTTCTTGGGCAAGCTTCTCTCAAATCTAGTTGTTCTCATTCTCCTCTTCCGTGGTAATATGTGAGTCAAATCCCTAATTTTCCTTCCAACCTCTCTATTGGTAACCTAATTTTGCTATTTTGCAATGATTTGTTAAGTTAGTTTAGAGATTTAAGTAAAAATAGAGAACGAAGATGTTATGTCGTGGAATGTCAGTAGAAAGCAATAGATATCATCACTTATGGTGAAATTCCGGATCTTTCACTGTAATTAAAAACGCTAGCAATCTTTCTCTAGTTATGGAGAGGACGATGGGTGTAGTTGTATTCTAATTACTTTTACTTTGTAGTTGCTCATAGCCAGTTGTGCTTGGAAGAAGGAAAGATGTCTTGCTATTAAAAGATTGGATCTGCATGGTTTGACTTTGAGTTCATTTTTTCTTGCAACATCTTGTCAATCTCGGTGACAGTTAAGAAACTTAATGGTATTGTTGCATCTATTAGGTCTATCTTCCTCTCTGGCTTTGAGTAAAGTCTTGGTTCTTTGTTGACTTCTATGTGTTACATGGATAGTATCTAGTCAATCTTGGTGACAATTGACGAACTCAAATGGTATTTTTTTCATTTTGGTCTATCTTCCTTTGTCTTTGAGCAAAGTCCTTTGTTTCTACGTTTACTTGTCTGTGGTTATGGTTCTGACTATGGATATCTTACTGCATCTTTTAGGAATTTGATGATGCTCTTGATTTATTCTCTTGCACTATATCTCTAAGAACTGCGACTCTTTCTATTTCTCTACCTATCACTATGCTGCTTACTACAAGAGTTGTGGCTCTGTCTTTTATATATTTCTCTCTGCTTGCTCTCTCTGCTGTTGGTTCATTCATACAAATAACTCTATGAAGCTTACTGCAATTTCCAGGCATAATAAATTAATGATTATGGACATCTAAATTCTAAAGTGCGCATCATTTTTCATTGTGCTTCTGAACATGGTATGTTCATGGGTCAAGCTTTAACTATCAAACTTCTCTTTGAGCTTATGAACATGGTATGTTCATGGGTCAAGCTTTAAGTATCAAACTTCTCTTTGAGCTTCTCTTAATCTACACAAATCAATCATCTTTTGTTGGTAAGGTCTTAATGTTGTATTTCTTGATAGAATATGGGTTTCTTAGTCCCTTAGTTTATGCTTCTCCCTGTTTGCCTGTCTTTGTAATTTTACATGTTCCATCTTTTGTCTCTTTTTGCTTGGCATTCATCATTCCTAATACTATACTTCTGCCGACTAACCATTTTTGTTTAATTTTTGTAGATTTCCCCTGTGCTATTGTTTCTTTTTCTTTCTTATTAATTTAATTGGTCATCATCATGAAAGCATATAGTGCTGAACTGATTTTGATGGGAATGCGAGTCTAGCTAGCTGATAATATCTCTAGTCTGTATCTTGCAGGTATGTAGTCTCATATTTTACACCTGCTGTCATTATTCTCTAACTTTATCGAGTTCTTTGAACTCTCCAGTGCCCTACATCAACTTGATAGAAGGAGGAAACCGAAGAAGTACAAGTGGTAGTAGCATAAGGAAACCAATTCTAAGCCCAGCCCCTTCATTGAGTGAAAGCAGAAGTGAAAGAACAACTAAAAGCCCCTTCATCATATAGCACAATGTATGCATGTATGATTAAGTATTACTTCATTCGTCTTGGATTTATATGAATGATCATACAAGTACTTAGATGAATATGTATTACCTTTACTTTAATTGATTGAGCTCAAGCATGTAACGGCTTGAATTTCCTCTACACTAGTAATAGCTAGAATGGTAGGAGTGTTATGTAGAACTCTATGAATTATACATTAACCACACATGATCTTTATCAGATTATATATAATTCATGATTGCATTTAGCTGGCACAGGATGATACATAATGTGAATCTGCTTTGGATTGTTGTAATTTTAATTTTGGTTTATGGTTTCTTACATTAGCAGAAATGATTTGATGATTTATATTTATTCTTCATTCGTCACTTTTGGCCACCGTAGGTTGTGCCTTTACCCACCGGAAGCGGAACATACGGTTGCTAATTCTAAACCAAGGTCTGACCGAACCGGTTTTGGTCGGTCTAAACAACTATTAGCCACAGTGCACCCCGTGGTTAATAATACTTAACAACTACGGTACACTTTACGGTGGCCATTACTTTTGACCACCGCATCCAAAATCCGTAGCCAATAGTTATTATTAACCACCATTTTGACTTTTAGCCACCACAAAGTTATCCACCGTTTATTCATCGTGGCCAAAAGTACTGACCACCGTTTTTTACTACTAACCATCGTTTTTACCGTGGTTAAAATGTAGTTTCTTGTAGTGAAAACTACAAAATGAAAACAAGCAAGAAAGTAAATCGAGGTTGTCCCAATGAGAGAAGAATTCACTCGGGTATCGCTCCCCATAGCCTTATATCAAGATCAACCAAATCGAATGCAAATGTGTGAAGGTGTGTTCATACACTGTTATGAGGGCACAACAAGTGAAGGAAACCTCACTCTCTTAATCAATCGGTGAAGGAAAACAATTAAGCTAGGAACCCCTAGCTCTCTCAATCAATGGATTGAGGATTGCTACAATAATCTAGGAAGTCTAACTCTCTTAACCTTTCGGCTAAGGATTGCAAAAATAAGCTACGAGTCCTAGCTCACTTAACCGATAAAGTAAGGGTTGCAAGAACAATCCCTCGGAACTTAATACGGACGACAAAGTAACACCCAAGTTAAAATGTTTAATCGAAGTTTGAGGTTTGCCCTAATTTTCCATAGGTAGATGACTCAATTGCGCAAAGAATC